CATTTTTATTGCATCTCATAATTTTGAAGGTAAGGAATTCAGGAGGGACTTGGATAGCCAATTCTTTTCTCCGCATGACACTCACCTTGGCTACTCAGTGGTATTCAGGCATTGGCCCTGCTGGGCTGGAGAACCTGGACGCCCTCACTTCAAAGATGGTGCCTGGAAAGGATGACTAGCAGATGAAATTCACTGGGCCCTCCTTCCTTTCCATGTAGGGCCTTTTTTTTTCTTCTTTCATTAGATTTTATCTTTCAGTTTGAGGGTTACTAGAGGCCTCAAAGGAGGAAGGGAAAGAAGGAAAAGGAAACGTGGTAGATGTTAAGGTGATGATAATCTAGCCTGTGTGATTCTATAACAACAACAGATTATGCCTTTGTTGAAACTCAGAACATGCAACAGAAAGGGTGAACAGGAGTGTGACCATGGACTTTATTATTCTATCAACATGACTTCTCTAATATGGTAACAAATTTTCTGTATTTAATACAAGATCTTGATAATAGAGAACTTGAGAAGAAGGTATATGAAAGTTCTTTCCATTTGCCATTTTCTGCGCAGTTATTCTGTAAATTTACGTGGGCTTATTAGGCTTTCTCTCCTCTGTAAACCAAGGAATGCCTCTAGTTGTAATCACATCCTGTGTAGCCTTCACGTTGGTATCTTCCATTTAACAATATGCACTCAAAGTTCCCCTGTGCCTTTGTGTGGCTTGTAGCTCATTTCCTTTTATCACTAAGTATCTGGTTGTAGAGACACACTAGTTTGTCCATTTATTTAGCTATGGAAGGACGTCTGGTTTTCAAAATGTTTCCTTCTGTGTGCACAGCAGGGCAGTCACACTAATTGATAGGGTGCCTCAAGGCTCCAATAGGCAAAACTTGCCTAGAGTTTTAAAAGCCAGAGTTATCATTTACCATACCCTGTTAGCCAAAAAAAGTCATAGACCAACCCAGACTCAAAAGTAGAGGTGTAGAGGATGGTGTGGCTGTCTTCAGGCTTCAAGAAGGAAAGCTCCAATGGTCTTCAATAATTTCTTCACCTTTTGTCAGTTTAGTAAACAGCTGTTTCATCACGTTTGGGGCACCACCTTCAAACAAAATAATTCGCTTTATAAAACTCTGCTACAGCCCACTATGGTAGCATTTGCCTTTAATCCCAGAACTGTAGGAGGCGGAGGTACAAGCATTGCAAGTTTAAGCCAAGAGCAGGCAGTTTAGTAAGATTTTATCTCAAAGTAAAAAATGAAAGAAAAAAAAAAGTGGGGCTAAAGCTCAGCATGAAGGCCCTACGGTCCATCCCCAGTACCAAAAAAGTCAATTATTATTACACAGATATATTTCAACCTCTTTTCTTAATAATACATAGCATACCAGGGCTCATAGTTCCTATTCCAGAGATGTTGAACCCAGTTGTGTCCTTTCTAGGAGGATCTGCTGCGCTGGGGGGGAGGATAACAAGTTCAAACTGAGGATCCAGAATAGACATCCACCAAGAAGATAACACTAACAATAAGCTATTTATACATGAGAGCTCACTAAGAGATCATCAAACGACAGAAGATTTGAGGGTAAACTGACAACACATACTTGGAAAATTAGGCAAAGAAACAAAGGCAATCACTGTCTCCCAGAAAATAAAAAGCCACAAAGAAACAGCAATAATAGATCAGTTGTGAATAGCTAAATCCTCCTCTTCCAGAGTAGGGAGTGAATAATGTCAGAGAATGAAAATCAAGAAGTAGCTTTAAAAGCATGCCACTTAGAGATAAGGAGAAAATACTGAAGTTCACCCAATTAAAGTTAAGATGAGTTGCCTCTGGGCGTACAGATATAAGAAAGGGAGGTAAGTATTTATGTACATAAATAAACTGTTTCAATTCATAAAGTTCACCACCTGATGTGATTGTCCAAATTTAACTTTTCATTGAGACTTCCAGCATCCACTCTAATCTTGATCTCCTTTCCCACCTCCTAATCACCTTCTCTTCCATAGGCTTTATCACCTTCTAATATAATTTTCTTACCTAATATTTCATGTTCTTATCTATTTTTTCTACTGCATGTCAGTAATACAAGTGGGAATCTTTATTTTATCCATTTTCTACTGTAACACAAATGCCAAAAGTGAATACTATGGAACATAGTAGGTGCTCAACATCTCTTAAGTTAATTTGTTTGTTTGTTTATTCAATCATTCATTTTGAAATAGTGGTCATTGAACTCAGGGCCTTTGCACTAAGCTACATCCACTACCCTTTTTTTAAATGTATTTATTATTTATTTATTGAGATAGGTTCTCACTTAACTGCCCATGTTGGGCTCAGATTTATGAACTGCTTACCTCAGCCGTCTATAAAACTGGAGTTACAAACTTACACAATGACTGACTAATTAATTTGACTTTTAAACTATAACTATAAGAAGTTTGATTTGAGAAATATAAAAGTATATTTAGATATAAAAAATAATTAACGTATTGCATGTTGGTGTTCTGTTAAGAAATGTTATCATTAGCTTTCTCAGATTTTAAAAAGGATACTTTCAACATGTTCCAAATACCCAGGCATGATGTATACTTACCTTTTTTGAGCACAAGAAGCAGTTGCCAAGTACTGGAATGCAATAATTTTTGGAACAATTTTAAAAAGAGTGATTTTACATAATATTGAGATAAGAACTTACCATACAGAAGAGAAGATAAACTTGAAAAGTAATGGAATGTATGTGTGTTTATTACCCATTAGTTTACATCTAGTCTTATTTCAAAAAGAATTTTAGGAAGTCTATAAAAGTATAGACAACATAACACTACATTACATTTAAATTAAATTAAAATCTTGGCAAAAGAAAATGGAAAAATCAAATATGGAACCAAGAGAAGCCAAAAAATGCTTAAAATGTGTGTAATTATATTTTGATATGCGTATCAAACTTGTCTCTAAGCTCTGTGTCTATTAATAATAGTAACATTAATTAGTCCATTACCTAGAAGTAAGAGAGATCCAACATATGGGTGTCTTAAATAAGAAAATATGTGAGCTTATTTCTCTTACACAAAAAGAAACTTCAGAGATGTGCAGCCTGAGAATAGTACAAGAGTTTGACTGTATCCAGTGCCCAGGGGTCCAGCCTCCTGCAGAATGAGCAGTGAGCTCTACTCTTCCAACATGGACCTTTTCTCCTCAGTCCAAGATGACAGCATTAATCTTATGGATAATGGAACAGAGGAGAAAGGGACAGAAGGAAGCAGGAGTCAGTATTTAGTTGTTTCCTAAGAAACATTATCAAGAATTGCCATTGGATATTTCTAGTTCCATCTTATCCAGAACTTAGTGACAAGGCTGTTCCTAGCTGCAAGAGAATCTGACAATCCAGCCATCATTCTGAACAGGTTTGAATCTTACTCACAACTCTACAACAATGCAGGAAAGGCAGAAGAGATCTGAAAAGACAATAGTGTGTGTAATCAAAAGAACAAAGGCAATGGTCAGATTATAAACATCAGTATTAATAAAGATGAACAATGGCTCAAGAAATTTACTGCATTCCTTGGTAAAAAGATTACAAAGAGACAACTTGAGGGGTCTTCCTAAAAAGAAAAAGGTTGACCTCTTCAACATCACTCTGATATATATATATATATATATATATTTACCTTTTTTAAGCACAGAAGCAGTTTCCAAGTACTGGAATGCAATAAGATTTTTAGAATAGATAGATAGATAGATAGATAGATAGATAGATAGATAGATAGATAGATGGCTTTCCTTTCATGAAAATTATAAGCTTTTGTAAGTTATTAATTGACAATGCCAGGTGTGGCGGTGCTTGCCTGTAATCCCAGAACTGGAGTTGCTGAGGCAGGAAGGTTACTGTGAGCTCAACCTGAGCCTGGGCTACATAGTAAGGCTCTGTCTCCAAACAAAGTTTCTCCAGTTTGGTCCAGTTTAACCCAGGGTGGCCTTTATCCTCCCATTCAACTACTTCAGCATCTCAGGAAAGTCAGGTGACCAACAAGGGTGACCATGCTGAGCTTTGAAGAGATGACTTTTGTTTAAAGAAAAATGTAGACTTTTACAAAGATTATGGGCTGGGAGTGGTGCCACACACGTGTAATGCCAGCACAAAGGAGGCTGAGGCATGAGGAATACTGTGAATTCAAGGCCAGCCTAGGTCTACATAAGTAAGTTCAAGGCCAGCCTATACTACACACCTTGAATCTTTCTCAAAAACCAAAACAAAAAGTGGTTCCTCTGGTCTGTAATCTCAGCACTAGGTACACTGAGGAGGGAAGATCACTACAAGTTCAATGCCAGCCTGGGCTAAAAGTGAGACCCCGTTTGAAAAAAAAAAGCTATAAAATGACATAAACCAATGCACAAAGGAATATATAAGGGGTGAAGGCAATTTTGCACGTGTATAATCAAAACAAAAGTTTCACCCTGTCTTGGTAGATCCAGCCATAGTCCCAATAGGAGGGAGCCTGAGGCAGGAGAATCTAGAGTTCAAGGCCAGCCTGGGCTATATACTGAGTTGAAATCCAGCTGAGCAGTAGAACAAGACATTGGTTAAACACCTATCACATCCTAAACCTGTTCGTTTGAAGAGACACAAGTCGCAGAATCCACGGTTCCATCTGCAGCCTCTGTGTCCACAGCACACTGGCAGAGGATGGGTAGGTGCGGCATGCTTGCGAGGACCAGGACTTATCAGGTGCATGCACAGTTGACAGTGACAGTGCTCTGGGAATCCAGGCAGGACTGCATCTCCTGGATGCTCCAGACCCGAGCCCATTCTGACTGTTAATGCAACCCATTTCACAGAACTGCTTAGAGCTCCCAATAACTCACCACAGTTCAGAGAAAACATATCAGAAATCAGCTATGATTTTCTAAATTCATTTTCACTGTAGTTGTCAAAATCATGCCAAAAAATGTCTCTGCAGGCCTCCTCACTGAATATCTTGACATTAAGTAGATACAAATGTATTTGTTTCAGGATGGGAGAAAGGTCTATTTACCTTCGTTTACGGAAATGGAACCGCTGCAACCACAGGGATTACCAGAACATTTCAAGAAACGGTAGGTGGCTTTCCAAGGAAGCCTTCACCAAAGTGCCTATAATGGTTGATTCTGTTGGGTAAGAATTAACTTTAAAAAGTAAGATAACAGGGGCTGGGGAGATGGCTCAGTAGAGTAAGCGCTTCCCTGGCAAGTGCAAGGGCCTGAGTTCAATCCCCAGTTCTGCCAAAAAAAAAATGTTTAAATAAAATAAAAGTAAGGTCACAAAGACCAGGGTAAAGTGAACAGTGTCCCTTCCAACACCATTTGGGGTGCAAGCGCCCTGATCCTAGGCAATGTAGATATGGCACCAGACACAGGCGCGGGGAAGATCGAGAGTGCAGCCTAGTCCCCAACAGCAGCATCTAGCAAGGCCACCATGCAAGCTATCCAGGGCTTGGGAACCCAGACCTCAATGAGCGTTAGCTGACCAAGAGCTGAGCCAAAACCAGTCATTGCTACAGCCGTGCCATCCCCCGTGGGCCAAATGCCTGCTGTGGTTGAAGTCGGAAGCTTTCCCTGTGTGGGTTTTGGCCTCCTACCTTGGACCTGCAGGTGGGCTGCTGGCCCAGAATTTTGATGATACTCCTGTTTGACAAACAACAGGGGGGCTGATGCCTAATGAATCCCCAAGTGATGTTTTGTGACACCGTCATGCGGAGATAGCAAACACAGTGTGCGTTGCCACTCCACCTTCCCAAGCCTGGAGAGCATATGAGTAATCTGCCTCGGCAGTGCTGCTGGCCACCCCCAGTCTGCCTCAGTGATTCCCACACCACAGCACGTCTGAGAATCAGCAGCAGTCAATTAGCCTTGGCACATGACGCTAAACCTATCTGCTATCCGTGTGCCCTCTCTAATTAACTAAAGATGTGAAGGAACTTTCCGAGCAGC